GGCAGGGAGGCTTCCCTACCACCTCCCCCGCCCCAAAACCACAAGCCGCCAATTCCTTCCACACCACGGCCACCTGCAGTATCTCAGGTTCCTCCTCCTCTTCCCCCAAGTCGTCCAGGCCCACCTCCACTTCCACCGGCATCAGGTGGAAATGATGAGATGCCGCGGCTTCCTCAAAGGAACCTATCGCTAGGCTCTTCTCAACCGCCGTGTCTGCCTGGCTCCAACCGTTCTGGACCTCCGCTTCCTCCCCCAGTTGAGAGACCACCACCTCCTGTAAGGGACCCGCCGAGCAGGTCAGGTAAGATTATCTGCATCTTCCCAGGGTGGGTTACTACAAAAATGGAAAGCCATATTTTGAATGCAGGGTTATGCTATATCCATACATAAACAGTGTGAGGGTAGAGGGTGAGGGACAGGCAAAGCTGCTCCAAGAACATGGTCAGATAATAAAAAAAGAATGAGTCCAGGAAAGCCATGTAACCTAACAAAACCCTTCCCTAGTTCTCACAAAGATAAAGGGAGGAAGGGAGAAGCAAATTTATACAAAGTTTAGATTTGTTGCAGTGAAAATACTACTAATCTATATGACATTGGATTCCTAGCCTGGTCTACCTGAATGGATGGATGGATGGATGGGTGGGTGGGTAGGTGGATGGGATACTGTTGAGTTCTTAATGTTCTCTGAGTTTGCTTCTTTGCTGTTTCGTTATTGGGCCAGGTAACAACATGGAGGGTAGTTTGCTAGCTGTTTATTTGTAGTATCTTGTCTTACCAGCCTTGAGTTCTTTTTTTATCTAGTTCCAGTACTTGGTTATCTGAGTGCTGGTTAATAGATGTGAGAAGAGGGAAATGTTTAAGTCTGTCTGCCTCTTTCCTTGATATTTTGATTGCTTCCTTTCTGAAATGGATTGTAGACAGAACTTATCTCAGTGTGTTTGCTTATGGCTGATTTGTAGGAAAATTCAGCCTTCTATAGGAAAAATTCCTCCTTTAGGAATTCCCTTGAATGTTTGGATTTGGCTTGGTCTAGGATACATACAGTTTTCTAACTGATACTCTGGCTGAACTTGTCAGCATATTCTAAATTTAAGACACACAATTGTTATGTCTTATGATTACCAGTTGATGTTCATGGATGCTTACTCAAACTGAGAATTCAAATTCTGCCTCTTTGCCCCAAGCAGTAACACAGTTGTTAAGTGAATCTGGCTTCCCAAATTGACTTTGCAAAAGGTGATCACATGGCCCCGGAACACTGCATCCGCCATAAATATGAGTCAGTTGCCTAATGTCTGAAATTTGATCACATGATCATGAGGATGCTGCAACGGTGTTAAGTGTGAGGAACAGTCATAACTCCCTTTTTTCAACTTTGAAAAACTTTGGTCACTAAATAAACTATTGTAACTGGAGAACTATCTAATTCACACTGAAATTTGGCTCTCCAGGACTTCCTGATCATGCAGTCCTCCATCCCTGTAGGGAGCAGGGGGATTGGTCTCAAACTCACTGATTTTTAGATTCAATTTTTTTAGGTTATTTTAATATTTCTTTTATAAATAACTGAAGGTGGCAGACATGCCCAGTACTCCTTCCTCTTCCTATTTTCCTCACAACAGCCACTCTATG